CACGTCGTGCTTATGCCAGTAAGCAGCTGGCTTCCCTGAAACAAAATGCTTTCCACATACCCTTTCGCTGTTAAGCACGTCTTTCTATTCAGGGTCTCCGCGACTGATCGCTTTTATCAATTTTTCTCTCCGCTCTGTAGTCAGTTCTTCTCCAAATTCTCCTTTGTTGGTTGCCACTGAGGGTATTCGATAAAATCTAATCCCTTTATCCAGGTCACTTCTACTTCCACATCCAAAAACAATGCAAAGAACCATTTTCAGGCTTACTTTCGCACTGTGACCTTTCTACTGAGCGCGTTTGTTTGGGCACCAACATGGTGGATAGCAACCGTCGACAAGACGGAGGTCACGTGGGTGAAAACCAAGAATATTTGATGAGTGTTTTCCTTTTAAGTTCCTTATCTTATTTTGTTTTTGCTGTTGTGGTTGTTATTGTAGAGTTGCGATGACGATAAAATCACAGAGCAGTTCAGGTTTATGTTTGTAACAACTGCGTTGCCACGAGGCACGACGGTGTTTTTTTGACTTGGTGATCACATGTCTATAGTGACGCGTGTCACGCCACAGTTGTTATCACTTTTTTTAAACTCTGACAGAGCTTATAGAATATATTGAGAGAAATGGGTGGATATTAGTAACCTTGAGATTTTAGTTTTCAAAGACTTTTCACCATGGAAGAGAGATAATATTAAAGTATCTAGGCCAAATATTGAAATTTATCTGATTGTCATTAGAGATAATGTTGCCATGGTAACGACGTAAGTAGAAAAAATTAACACCCAAAACACAATCTTCACTTTATCGTCAGCCGAACTGTTGAATATCTAGGGAGACAGCTTTGAGATGAATTAACTACGTTTCTTATAGTAACTCGCTCTCCGAAAGGAGGTTTATTCGTTAATACTTGGGTGCCGGCGGAGCCACCTTAACCTCCTGTACTAAATTTAACACTTTTACTTGCACAGCTTCCTTTTTTTCCTCAATAACCGGTTCGTTTCCGCGAACGGTGACAAACAATGTAAAATCAAAAGTTTAATTCAAAATCCTTCGCGAAAACTCGCACTAAATGTTACAGTGTTTGACGCAACGTCTAGCCAAAATTAGGAAAAACGAAAGATAAACTCGGTAGCCTCGTGGCACCGTTCGAAGATGCGGCCACCGCACATGCACAGAAACTTAGATGTCCCGTATGGGAACCCGGACAGCCGCGCGCGCGCGTTACGTTACAGTTGCTAACCATTACGTTACGTTGCGTAGGTTGTTACTACGAGATCACACCTTTATCGTTTGTTAATCGCTCAGGCTAGCGTTTTGGTGCTCAATAAAATATTTTTAAAAGCGACTATACAAGGTCACTAAACAAACAGACAAACTTTCCGTAACTACATGCGCTGAGGCTGCTGGTTGCCACCAGTCCTGTAGTTGGCTTCAGTAATCGGAATAGCCATCATAGGTTGTGGTGGAAAAGGCTGCACTTGGATTGGTACGTGTCCGTTTCCCACTTGATGGCATTCATAGTATGGCTAAAAAAATTAGATTAAATTATCCAGTTGATTAATGAGAAAAAGAAGGAAAAGGGGCCGGAGGAAGAAGGGGAGGAGAATTGGGAAGGGAAGAATAAAAAGAGAAATGTGAGAAAAATAACTGTGGCAACAGAAGGAAGACCACTAGAGGTGGAGATTGAAAGGAATGGAGGGAAACAGCAAATCAGAGAGGCATACAGGGAAGTATGGGGAGAGGAGAAAAGCGAGGGAGGAATGGAGGGAGATGGAAG